CCCCACACATAGTACCACACCCTCACCCTAACCCATCCCTATTCTAGGCCTCAACACCACCCCGCATGCAATACCAATCCTGATCACCCTCACCCTCACCCATGATCCCCATGCTAAGCTAACGTTAATTTTATTAACACTAACAACGTTAATTTTATTAACATTAACAACGTTAACTTTTGCTTATAACGAGATTAAAAACTACACTCTTGATTCGGCATTCGCCACGTTGTCTGGATCCACACCTTGTACTACCCAGTCTGGCCACAAGAATTCGCGATTATGTATCCGAATTCAAAAGCATACTAACATATACCCCCCCATACACATATATATCAGGAGTAAATAATAGGGAAGGAGTGTGACTTCAAGAAACAAGGGAAATTCGTCATTTACTAGCAAATCGTACCTCAAATCGTACACAGTACATTTGCCTAGCATCGTGCAAAATCGTTTCCTCGTATACACCCGCAATCCGGAGATATAGACTAAAACGTACGACACGATTTTCCATTCTGCTGCCAGCAAACTCGATGCGTTTTGAGCCGAAATTTAAACAAAAGGCAGCTACTAACCACAGCTTGCTCTCTCGGCAAGGCGGTGTGGCTCGCAGGGAGATTGCGGTGGGCGTGCGTGCGTGGGGGGCATACCAGCTGTATGCCGGTATGCCGTGTCAAAGGTTATCTCGCCGAGTGTTGCGTCGATGTCCAATCTCCCTGCGAGCCACACCGCCTCGCCGAGAGAGCAAGCTGTGGTTAGTAGCTGCCTTTTGTTTAAATTTCGGCGCAAAACGTATAGAGTTTACTGGCAGCAGAATGGAAAATCGTGTCGTACATTTTAGTCTATATCTCCGGATTGCAGGTGTATACAAGGAAACGAATTCGCATGATGCTAGGCGAATGTACTGTGTACGATTTGAGCTCAAGTTGGATGAGTTACGCGTAGTAAATCGTAGGTATTATAAGGCCAGTAAATGATGAATTTCCCTTGTTTATTGAAAGCCACACACCCCCCTCACTCCCCCACCCATGCAGCCACACACCCTCACTCCCCCACGCACGCAGCCACACACCCTCACTCCCCCACCCACGCAGCCACACACCCTCACTCCCCCACGCATGCAGCCACACACCCTCACTCCCCCACGCACCTGCAGGTTGGTCGGGTCCTTCCAGCTCTCGTCGGAGGCAGTCTGCAGCTTCTCGTTGATCCACGACTCCAACTCGTCGGCATCGCGCTTGAAGAACTGGAAACGGCGACTGTCTTCAAGGCGCTCCCGCTTCAGCCTCGCCAACTCTTTGAACTGTAGCGAGAAGATGAGAACGCGGCGCCGTCAGACTCGCGTCGACCGGTGGCTAGCGAGGGCGCCACACCATCCCTGTGTGCGCGATCGCTTTCTAGCGTGAGAGGGGCTTCACTGAAGACTACCTAAACTTCCACACATAACAACATCTGAGCTTTGCTCAAGTTAAAGTATAATAATAATAATAATCAGGGTTCTCCCCAGGATGAAATTGAAACAGGGGGAGGGGAGGGGGGAAGGGAGAGGAAACTAGGGGGGGCGTGTTTTTTTTACCGTACCACTAATTAATGCGTAAAATCGCCACCACACCATAGACGGTATTTGGGGTTCTTGTATATATAAGATAGCCGAGTCGGTGTACAGTTAGTGTTGGGTTCGGGACAGGACGACTGTTTGTACTTGTGTGTGGTCTGCAGTGCATGCGTGGTACGGTACAAATACACGAGTCGGGTGTCCTGGTCGAATGGGAATTCTTGACGATCGATTCCCGCGCTATCAAACTTTTATTGTGGTGGAATTTAATCGGGGCGGAGGTAATTTAAACGGGGCGCAACGATTGAAACAGGGGGGGGGAGTTTTCCCAAACGGGGCGCACCGTTTGCGCAACGTAGGGAGAACCCTGATAATAGCCTAGCTTCACCTAACAATAGCCTAGCTTCATATAAAAACACGATAGCCTAATTGTATCCGAGTAATAATAGCCTCACATTACCTGAATAATAATACTCCAAGTTTACTTGATTAACAATATCCTAACTTCATCTAACAATTTCTTAGCCTAGCCTAACTATAACTAAGCCTCACCTAGCAGTAGCTTAGGTTAAGAGTTTCACTTAACAATATCTGCACATTTTATAAATATCATTAGCAGCTATGAAAATAAATGTAGTTCTACTTTAACCTTTTACACGGTGAGCTTCACCCACGCATACCTAAGCTTCGCCTAAGAATTACATTATTATGGGCATTTCATTTAGCCGCAACGAATAACTCGGATTTTGCTTCTATATGACAAAGAAATCTATACAAAAATTTCAATACAAGTTTCTATACAAACTTCACTACGTTAAAAACATGTGCACTGCCCTTTTCATAGGATGACGTAAATTTCTAAGGCTTTTATTTGTTAGCAACACTGAACAGATATGCAGCAGCAGCTTCCGTGACATTACCATTATCATGCCATTCATGCTTGCCTGTACGATGATGAATAAAACCTTGCATACACCCCACGCAATATAATTTTGTTTAGCCATCGAGTCAAATACACCTCTGTAGATGTGTATGACATTAAAACCCAACAGCCATTACAGAAACGGCTAACAAAACCAAACTTTAGACGCGCCTAGTTATTATTTGATCAAAACACACAACTACAAAATTATATCATAGTAAATTAACATTATTCTATAGATGCAACATCAGTGAACATAAGTGACGCAAAAGTTCCTTTTAAAATTGCGATTTCACAACATCTTCACATACTTATGGTTTACAGAACAATTATGAAACGTATTATTTGTGACATATATTGGCAGAACAATGACTGATAACAGACATTTAAAAACTCATTTTATGCACTCATACAATATAGCGATACAATAATCCCAAACAAATAATTAAGTTAATCCAAATTAAATAAATTATTAAATTAAATTCATTATATAAGCAACAGCATGTGTTTGACATGATGTAGACATTCTTGTATTTGTTGGCTAGAAATCCAGGTTCCATGCAGACAAATGGAGAATGACAAATCATCATGAGAGCATAATTAGATAGGTTACATACCGATTCATAGTGGCTCAGCACTTCGTCTCTCCTATACTGGATGTCATCCGCTGTCTCAAGGATCTTTATTTCCTTTGGCTGGATGTCTCCTGGGTTTGACATCTTCCACTGCACAAGAAATTACATAAATGATTATTGGATTTGTTATTTCACTCACACACGCACGCACGAACGCACGCACACACACACACACACACACACACACACACACACAGTCTATATTATGCCGCGCCTGATATTTAATATCAGGGCGCGAAATTAGCACCGGCCCACCAGCATATATGCTGGCAAATTATTTGGAGGGCCGGTAACATTGGCAAAACACCGGCCCTTCGAGCCGGTGGTTTCAGCCTGTGTTAGCGAGTACCTATATCATTTTAAAATGAGCAAATAGCCTACATTACTGTTTTACCTGAAGGATATCACGCCATAATTTATCAACATTTTACAAATTTGAAATCGAAAATGCAAGCGTGAAACATGACATTGATTTTACAAACAAAATTTATGAGGGCTGGTAAATTATGGTGCAAGGGCTGCTAAGAAATTGCTGTTACCAGCCCTCTGGGCCGGTGCAAAAAAATCTGAATTTGGTGCCCTGAATATGCACACATATATATTATACCCGCTTTTACTGTATGTGTGCTTAAAGACACTTAAATCATTTCTATTGAGGCAC